AGGTGTCCCAGTCAACAATCTCCTAGATTAAAACAAATGGTCACCTCAAAATCCCATCAACATGGCCAAATTGGCTGTCATGTTTGCCTACACAGTCACTACACTTTACATAAAATGCTGTGAAGGCTTTGAATCACTTTAACATAATAAGTTAATGTACCAAGTACAAGGATTATTATTATTATTGGTTCCTGTGCTTCTAATACATGCGAAGATATTTAAATACCAACATGTTAAACAGAGAGTAAAGGTAAAGAATTTCTTCCTCGGAGCCTTTTATTATTTTACCAAACAGCTTTGGTGAAGTTGTCCAGTAAAATGTTTACACGTACCAACATGCTGTGCTGCAGGGTGGTGGCTGATAAATGAATGCTTGTGCTTCCTTCTACAAAGTAAGCTCCCGATCTCAGCCATGGGTAAACAATTAATGGGAATACTGAGCATTACCCCTTACCCCACAGTGAAATTAATAATAATAAAAATTATAATCCTTGGATTTCATATTACAGCAGCTTGCAATTAAATAGTGTCCCTCACGCAGCGTAGGGTCTCAGAGGTGAGACGTCTCAAAGCACTTCACAGGATATGCTGTAAAGTGGATTGACTGTATTTTGTGGGCGAAAGGTGGTATCCACAGTTGTGGATTGAGTGATCAATATTTTTTAAAAAATTGAAGGAATATCAACAGAGAGCAATCCACCAATCGACTAACAACTGAGATCCTACTTACTGCTAGATAGACTGGGAAACGTCAGTTGTGTTTTTTGTGTTTTCTACCAGTGTCAGCAGAGGCCTGGGAGCAAAATCACCTCCCTCTCTACTCATTTAGGGAGTGGTAAACTGTGTGCGTGTAAAGGTTGGAGGTTCACCCCCAAGAGTTATAGAAAAGAAACATGGATGAGAATGAAAATTGAGGCAGTGGCGGGGGATAGAGAGGATGGGTGCGATGTCTTGTATTGGAGCCTCAATGTGCTATCCCACGCAGTATTGAGACATCACCTCTGAGTCATTATCTTATCTCCAAATCTGAACCACATCGCTGCAGAGCAGCACCAATCAAGATCCAGGTATTTCCCCACAGAGTCTTCAGGTAAAGTCACTCTTCATTGTAAATTGGTCAAATGATTTGACTGTTTGTGGGACGCTGCTGTGTGAACCTGTCTCCCACTGCTATCTCACCACCATTATAACCCGCATGAAACTGACCACCTGCTCCCACGACCTCATCCCTACACTTCTCCTTACCTCCCAGCTCCACCTCCTTGCCCCTCTACTCACAGACATCATAAACCTCTCCCTGCCCACTGGTCCCATTCCCACCCCTTTAAAAATGGCCATCAATACTCCTATCCTCAAAAACCCTCCCTGGACCCAATCCTGCTCTCAAAATACCACCCCATCTCCAACATCCCTTTCTTCTCCAAAGTCCTGGAACGAGCCATTGTTTCTCAGCTTCACTCCTTCCTCTCCCGCCACTCCCTTCACGAACCCTCCAATTGGGTCTCGGTGTCGTCCACAGCACAAAAACTGCTCTGGTCAAAATGACAAATGTCATTCTGTCTACCTGAGACCAGGGCTCCCTTTGCCTCCTCGTCCTCCATGATTTCTCTGCTGCCTTTGACTCCGTTTGACCACTCTATCCTCATCCATCGCTTCTCCTCTTCTCTCAACCCTCATGGTACTGCCCTTGAATGGTTCAGAGCGTACCTCTCACACCGCCTCCATTTTATCTCCACAAACAGTTTCTCCTCGAGCCCCTGCACCATCTTGTGCGGTGTTCCTCAGGGCTCTGTCCTTGATCCCCTCCTCTTCAATATCTATATCCTCCCTCTTGGTGGCATTATCAACAGACATAAAGTCAATTTCCACATGCATGCGGATGACACCCAACTGAACCTCTCTGCCTCCACCTTTGACTCCAGGACCACTGGTGTCCTGACAGAATGTCTGTCAGACATCAAGTCCTGGATGAGAGCTAACTTTCTTCAATTGAATGTCAACAAGACCGAGGCCCTCCTCATCTCAGGCACTGACAGCATCACCATCCATGGATGCACATTCCACCTTACTAAGCCAGTCCGGAACCTTGGGGTCTTGTTTGACCCTCAACTATCCTTCCTACCCCACATCCGTGCTATGATCCGCTCTGCCTCCCTCACCTCTGCAAAATTGTTCGGTTCCGCCACTGTCTCACACCGCAGGCCACCGAAACCTCATACATGAATTCATAACATCCAGGCTTGACTATGCAAACTCATTGCTTGTCGGCCTCCTCAACTCCTCCCTCCATAGGCTGCATAGATCATTCGGAACTCTGCAGCTCGTGTCCTCTCCCGCACCAGGCTCCGTGACCCTATCACCCCTATCCTCACCCGACTCCACTGACTTCCCATCACACAGATACAGTTCAAGATCCTGGTCCTCACTTCAAAGCCCTCCATGGCCTCTCTCCCCCCTACATCTGTGACCTTCTAACCCCCTTACCATCTTGCCCGCGCTCTTCGGCCTGCTTCACGTCCCCCCTGTCTGCCCCACCATTCGTGGGCAGGCCTTCTGCCACTCTGCACCCACCCTCTGGAACTCCATCCCGTAGTCTGTCCACCTCACCCCCTCTCGTCTCCTTCAAGACCCATCTCAAGACCCTTCTCGTCGACCGTGCTTTCACCCTTCTTCCCCTGTTGCCCTCCACCCTACCCAATCCCGACCCCCAGCTCGGGTCTGCAACACTGACTGTCCAGTGCCTTAGGACATCCTCCCGACGTGAAAGATGCTATACAAATGTAATTTTGTTGTTGTATGCGGTCTGTATAAATAAGTCCGTACTAGTGAATACAGTGCAATATTTCCAATATCAGAGTTCAATAGGGGCAATTTAATGTGAAAATTTGGCAGCTTTAACTACATTTCTGAATGTGTGATGTCTAGATTACAATTGAATTCACCTTTTACCAACCTCAAATTCCCATTTCAAACTTTAGCTCAGCAATGCATGAAAATGTACAGTACTTTAAAGAGGAATTCATGAAATAGTTGGCCACTTGAAATATACAGTCAATTCACTTCACAGTATATTCTGTGAAGCACTTTGAGATGTCTCAACAACATGATAAGGCGCTATATCAAATGCAAGGATTATTATTACTGATGGCAATTTTGGATTAAATAGCAAACATTTTGCACTTGAATGAAATCTAATTTTCCAGATCAATGTGCCTCTTGTGTTACTAAGATGATAAACGGCAAGGGAAAAGGTTTCTGGTAATGGTCTCCTCACTTATGAACAGGCAGACGGGATCTTAACATCTCAAACAAACCTAACAATGTGCATACTTGACACAGATCAAGTAATGGGACTAGTTAGAAACAAGAGGGCAATAAATATCTAGCAATTAAGAGCATTAATATTCCAGCCATCCATGCTGTATTTACAGTCAGCTATAGAAAAGCTATAAAATGTGATACATCCATGAATCATGCGAGCTTAGAATTTTTAAGTTAACATAGTTGGTAAAAGTGGATTTGAAGCTCAGAGCTTCCACAATAAAATAACTTGTGAATGTATCACCTGGCACTCGTGCCTCTGAGTCAGAACATTGCAGATTCAACTCACTTTGTTGCTGACAATCCAGTGCAATGCTGGGGGAGCGCTACATTGTAAGGGTTGCCGTCTTTCAGATAAATCATTCATTTGAGATAATATCTGCCTGTTCATTTGGACATTAAAGATCCCATGGTACTATTCAAAAGAGAAGGGAGATTCATGGCCAACAATCTTCCACAAAAAATTAATTATTCGCTTCATGGGTATTCGTAAGACAGAGTCGTGTGCAGATTGGCTGCCGCAAAAGCTAACAACTACAATCACTACACTTTTAGACATTTTAACAAGGACCTACTATATCAAATGCAAGGTTTATTATTTCATTTATTATTATCGTTGAATTCTTAATCTGTACCCCAAGTAGAAAAAGCAACAACAACAACAACATTACATTTATAGAGCTTCTTTCACGTTGGGAGGACGTCCCAAAGCGCTGAACAGTCAGATGTCGGGGCCGAGCATGGGGAAGGGGTGGTATAGGGGTGAGGGAAGGCAGAGAGATGGGAGGGAAACCAAAGGCACAATCAAAGAAAAGGGTCTTGAGACCGGCCTTGAAGGATGCAAGGGAGGAAGCGAGGCGAAGAGACCGTGGGATGGAGTTCCTGAGTGTGGGGGCAGAGTAAGCTGAAAGCCCGGTCACCAATGGTAGGGCGGGTCGGGCGGGAGACATGGAGCAGGCCGGAGCCTGATGAGTGGAGGAACGGGCAGGTTGGTAGGGAGTCAGCAGGTCAGAGAGGTAGGAGGGGGCAAGGTCATGGATGGACTTAAAGGTGAGGACAAGAATCTTGAACTCGATCCTCTGGGGGATGGGGAGCCAGTGGAGTGGGGTGAGGGTGGGAGTGATGGGTTCGCGGAGCCTGGTGTGCGAGAGTACACGAGTTGCAGAGTTTTGGATGATCTACAGCTTGTGAAGGGAAGAGTTGGGAAGGCCGATGAGGAGGGAGTTTCTGTAATCGAGCCTTGATGTGATGAATACGTGGGTGAGGGTTTCGGCAGCCTGAGGGGTGAGGCAGTGGCGGAGTCTGGCAATGTTGCGGAGGTGGTGCCGGTCATGGTGCAGATGTGGGGGAGAAAGGACAGTTCAGGGTCAAGCAAGACACCCAGGATCCTGACTGGGTTAGTGAGGTTGAGTGTGCAGCCATGGAGGCTGATGCTGTGTAGACACTGTGTAGACACTGTGTGGCATTGCTGTTCAATATTCCAAAATAAGAACAATAAGGATTAAAATCATTCTATTTGGTTTATATACTCAGATTTAAACTTTGTTTTAAAACTCTGCAGGCACAGTTCCTGTAGAAGTGTGGGATTTGTAGGTATGTCACTGCTGATCATACTACTGTTAATGTGGTTCAACTGTCTAGAAAAGGATATATAAACAAATGTAGCCAAGTAGCTTTGCAAAATTCACAAAAAAAAATTGTATTCAGAATTTCTATTCCGTTACAAACTTTTTCTCTTTCACTGGTTTTATCCTCAAAATCTCAGCAAAGGCACCTCCGAACCAGCATGTGATATGGGCAGAGTCCAAGGTGAAGTAAAAGAGTTGATCCTGGCACTGTTTTCTACGGTACACAGAGCGTGGATCAGCTGACAGTATGGCCATGATGGCAGATCTTGCTTCCTCTATAGATTGGAAATGTTTCAATGACGTTTTACCGGGATCTACAAACAGCCACAGAGATGGTTAAATCTTAGCATTTAAATCTAATAAACACATTAAACAGATACTAGATTATATAACATTATAAAGCACAGCATAACATCACCTGAAAAATGGGGTTTCCAATATAAATATAATATAAATATAAAGGGAAACCTGGTGCTTAAAATTCCAACTAAGTTCAGCCTATCAGACCATTTTGGTTTAAAATTGAAGATTTCACAAAGCTGTGGAAAATTCTTAAATTTAGTTGGTAGCTGGGATTCTTTGCACATGGCTCCTGTTAGTTAATCGCTCAAGCCAAAGCCCTAACACTGGTGCAAGCAGCAGTAAGCTTGCCAATGATTGCAACGTCAAGCCAGTTTTGTTTGGTTAAACACCAATAATACCTTAATGCTCCTTCTTAAAAAGAATCAAATCCAAACTGAGACTGAATTGAAAAATTTCCACATTTCTGCGCGACCTGAGCTATTAAGATAAGGCAGGCCTAGAGGTCAAATCTAGGTAGAATTTCAGGCCCCTGGACACTGACTGGAAGCAAATAATGACCAGGTTATTAGTGTGGTGGAGTCCTGTAGCTCAGTGGTTAGAGCACTCGCTTTGCAAGCAAGAGACCTGGGTTCGATTCCCAGCAGGGTGAAACCTTGGGCAAGTTTCCTTACTCCACACGCCTGATAATAATCCCTCCAAATACAAAACAATAATAAATTGGTCATTTCAATCCATGACCGTTTGTGGGACTCTGCTGTGAGCAATTGCCTGCCGTATTTCGCCCACAGATATACAATCAATTCACTTTACAGTCTATTCTGTGAAGCGCTTTGAGACGTCTAGAAGACGTGAAAAGCGCTACATCAAATACAAGGTTTATTATTATTAATAATAGAATAATAGTGTACCACTGTACCTGCTTTGTCAGGAGCCTGGAACTGCTCCAGATCCTTTTCAGCATAAGGGGTGAATCGAACGTCTAATGAAGACACGGGAGATTCCTTTACCCATGCTGCGACAGTACTGATACACGGCTCATTACCCAAGTCCTGACCAGCAGAACTCGATGTCTTGGGCTGGTGCTGATACTGATGGTACATGGTAGTGCCTGCATCCTTCAACTCCATGCTGATAACTTTGCCTCTGTCAGTGGATTCGGTCGCAATATCACTGTGGATTAGCTGGTGCCTGATCTTCTCCACAGTTAGGAAGAAGCTTTGGTCAACACCTGCCTCCTTTGTAGCAGCAAACTGATTATCTTTCTCACACTTTAGCTCACATCCTAAAGGGATCTCTTCAACTTTGGTGAGGTGTTGATCTTCTCCATGAAGAACTTCACCGCTTCTGTTTGTTATTGAGTGTGTCCCATATATAGGAGGGTTTGGGCCCAATTCAGCAAAACATCCACCTCCAACCTCTGAAGTCCCGTTGGTGTCCACCTGCCCCTCATCAATATATTCTCCAGTTACTGGATTTGTAACAGTTTGGAACTGCTCATCTAGCACGATATCTTTATTGAACTGACTGTCTTTTCCATCACTGGAGGCATCACATCTAGGTGTATCATAGTCTGGAATATATGGCTTAATGTCCAAGACTGGTGTCCCTTCTATCATGTCGATTCCCGAAAGACAAACTGTGTCACCTTAAAGAGTAAAGGGAAAAATAGACACAAAAATATATATGCATACACAACAACAACTCGCATTTTTATAATGCCTTTTACTTACAGCATCATCTTTTGTAGCATCAGATCGTACCTGAAGACTTAATCTTTGACCTCTTTGGCCTACGGTCATCTCCCATCACTCTCTGGCTCGCGTAAAGCTCTGCCACTGTTAAGTGCTGCGAGATGCTACCTCGTGTGAAGGGCATTATGCAAACGCAAGTTGTTATTGCTGTTGAAGTGCTTTACTGAGACAGTGGCAGACTTCGAGCAGGGTGGGTAGGGGAGAAGAGAGGTGATCACAGATTTTGTTTAAGTGATAAGTTTTGAGGAAGGCTTTAAGGACAGGCAGAGAGGGAGCAATGTGGATGGATTTCGAGAGAGTTCCAGAAAGTACAGGGCATGGTAGCTGAAGATTTAACCATTGATAAATATATAGTATAATATACTAATTTGCTGGGGGCAAAGAGGTTGAAAGCTCACCTGCTGATAGCGAAGCAGAGGAGCAGGAAATGCGAAGCAGAGTTGGCTCAGCAGTGGGAGTAGCTGGGGGAGTAGGGTTGCAGGGTAAATTGAGGCAAGGCCACAGAGGCATTTGAAGGTGAGGTGAGGATCTTGATATTAATCCTTTGGGGAATAGGGAGCAAGGATGATGGTCTCATGGAGCCTAGTATAGGAGAGAATGTGATGATTTTGTACTCTCGGAGAGTGGAGTTGGGGAGGCCAGCGAGCACAGAATTTGAAAAGTTGAGTCCAAGAATACGGCAACAAAGAACTGCCCGAGGATGGTCATAGGTACATGACAGAAAAGCCATTAAAGGAGATGGAGTGACAACGCTGAGACTAGATTATGAGCTCACGTCCTGGTGAGTTTTAAAAAAAACAAAGTGGGAGCACTTTTAAATTAGTGAAATCTTGATCATCTCCCCAACCACACAAATCAGTTCCAGTGCAAAATGATGGAAGTAAGCTAAGAGGAAAGTAAATGCATAAAACTAAGCCAATGTTCAGTTACCTTTAAATTCATTTAAAATAACATCTATTTTGATGATAAAGGATTCTGCTTTTGTGCTTGAAAATATTGCCAAGTTAGAGGACCAAAGAAGAATGAAGGTAATTACCAAATTATGCAGTACCAAAGATATATTGAAAAATGTGACTTGATTTGAAATAGGTTATGGGCCCCCTCACCATAGTAAATTACAGAAATATACAGTATAAATCAATAGTATCTTTAGCAGCACCAAACAGCTACTCCACTTCCAGTGACTTAAAGACTTATCTTTAATTTTTATCTTATCTTATCTTGTCTCAGATAACAAGCATTCATTCTCAGTTCCACGACATTACCGGGATTCTTGATCAGATGAGTTTTAAAACTTGCTGTCAGCTGTCAACTTCTATAACAGAACTCAAAAGCCAATTAGGCAATACAATTTTCAAAGATGAGCAAAACTGCATAGACAGTCAAAGTCTACAGAAGGAATCTGCAATCCATATTCAATTTCCTCAAATTATGAGGTAACTACCATCCCTGATACATTCCACCTTAATGCAGAGCAATCATAGCTAAAGTCTAATAGGAGTCTCTGCTCTTTCTCTTTTTAGGAAACCCTGCTTTTATTCCTGCAAGACATCTCTGTGAAAGGCAACAAGACCAAAGACCTTTTACCTTCAATCCTATCCAGCTTCGCGAGCGTTAAACCTATCGCATTGGGACGATGTGGACTTCTTGTAGAAAAGACTCCAGTCTTTAATCCATTGAGCCGAGGTGGTTTAACTTTAGCTTTACAGCTCTGATGTCCATTCTTGTGAAAAATAAATACAATCCTGTGTGTGTAAAAAAAAACTTTAGGTGTTATCAATTTAGAGATAAAATCAGTTGAATTTTTAAAAACTAGCTTTTATTCCCATGGTGCAAGGTGCAAAAGTGGCTATGATTGCACATGTGTAAAAACAGCCAGTGTAAAGTTGTTTCCTACACTAATAAAAAAGGAAGACTTCCATGTCATCGAGTTACTACAATGTCACTTCCCTTTTCCTGCATATCCAAAAAGAGATGTTGCCAGGAAACAGATGACCCAGAAGTTGGGACTTTTTTTTAAAGCACAGAATGCTAAAATAGCTATCTTCTGGGTCATTTGTTTGCAGCTCATGTCATTTCCTGCTTTGTACGTGTGCATTTAAACAGGAAGTGGCACCAATGGTGTCCTACTTAAACAGATTTCAGCCATTTTAGGATGAAAAGCTGACTACATTCACATATCAAATAAACGGAGTGCATTGCAAAAGTGTTATAAGCAAATTTGTGCGTTTTGCAGGGCATCATTATACACACATGCACACAGATAAATAGTGCAGCATTAGATTTGTTACATTTGTTCATTAAAAATTAAGTCAAACAATTTTTTTTTGTACAATTCAAAGCAACTTACCAGACATGTGAAAATTGATCCAAGCCAATGAGCGAGTGCTCTGGATTAGTAAAAACAGCCTTGCTTATCTTAAGTCGTGCACGTGATAGACTACAAATGGTCGGTTGTCGAGGTGTGGCATTTTTGACAGAGAAGCATGATTCTAAGAATCCAATAGGTACGGTTCCAATATTTCCTTTTTTAAAAAAAAGTACACATCACTTGGAAATTACAATTCATAAGACATAAGATTTCAAGAGAAAACTGTAACGTACTCTGGAAAACTGTTAAATTGGATACGCATGTAAAAGATTATTATTGTTGAACTATCAGGCATCAAATCTGTAAGCAATAGGGAATTTGTGTGATGCCAGAATTGCTTATTTTTGACTTCATTGTAATTCATATTTGCATGCATATTTTGTGCTCAGCAGAGGAAAAAAATACCTCCAATACTCTTAGAGAGTAAGGAAAGTCTAGAGGGAGAATATTGTGCTCATTAAAATATACATTTCCCTCATCCTGCACAGCTTGACATTGAAAGTTTTCCAGGCAATGCTTTGCACTGTCTTTGCACAGTGCTTTGGCAATGTCAAGCTGTGCAGTTTTAGCTGGTTTAGATAACCAATGCACACTCTGGGGTCCCCAATTCTTGGCTCTCGCCAACGTATGCCTCATACTCTCCGGAATTTGGTAAGCAAGAGGTGTCCCTCCAGGGAATTAATGCATATTCCATTCCAATATATATATCTCTGGAATTTCCGTGTATAGCGCAAATGCATGGAATTCCCAGTTTGGGTGGATACTCTTACGTATGGTGATGGGTCTCTCCATGTGTCAGACACCCAGCTGACCAAAAAAAACAGCCACCGCATGGAGTGAAAGCAAGAGAGACCTGCAAGGAGAACGCGAGTTTTGGAAGTGGAAGTTTTGTTGCTGTTGTACGCCAATAAGGTCCCAGATTCAACCTCCATTCTATTCTGTCAGCTGATCTCAACTGAGACAAGTAGAGAGCATAATGTAAAAATGTCACACCTTTTTCCAAACAGAAAGGCATTTCGGCATCTTGATTTCCGGTGGTTGCAGAATCCTGGATCTGCTCCCTTTTTATGTCGCTCAGAAAAGAACGTAAGTCATCGATAGATTTTTTGTGTACACGGACAGCTTTGTCAATTTGTTGTCTGAGGGAAATCAACAGCATTGGACATATCAAATATGCATAATAATCCTTGCATTTGAGACCTCTCAAAGCCCTTCACAGAATATATTGTAAAGTGAAGTGATTGTACATTTTGTGGGCAAAATAGCCAACCAAAGCCATTTTTTATAGAAGTGATGAGCCGTGATGTTACAAGTTCTATTTTTACAGCCCCTAAAATTTAAGAGTCCCAAAACACTTAACAGGGAAATAGTGTCGAGTGTAGTGACTGCATTTTGTGGGTGAATGCAGCAGCCGGTTTTGCAAGCCAAGTCCCCAGAAACAGCCATGATGTGAATGACAAATTTTTCAGTATTTGGCGGATTGTTGGTCATACAAAATCCCCCCAAACACAGAGATACTTTGGTATGGTATTTGTGGAGTCCTGTAGCTCAGTGGTTAGAGCACTCGCTTTGCAAGTGAGAGACCTGAGTTCAATTCCAGGCAGAGGGCGAAACCTTGGGCAAGTTTCCTTACTCCACACAGAGCCTAATAATAATCCTCCAAAACCAAAAACAATAATAAAGTGGTCATTTTCAATCTACGACTGTTTGTGGACATTGCTGTGCGCAATTGGCTGCCGCGTTCGCCCACAAATATACAGTCAATTCACTTTACAGTGTGTTCTGTGCAGCGCTTTGGGACGTCCTCCCGACGTGAAAAACGCTATATCAAATGCAAGGATTATTATTATTATTATTATGATGATGATTATGATTATGATGGTGGTTGCAGAATCCTGGATCACCCCCTTTGCCAGCTTGTTGTCTGGCGGGAATTTCTCCCCCAGGAGAGAGAAACTCCCTTCCCTTTTGGAACGGGATTGTTAAAAGTGCACCCGAACAGTGCCCGATCGGAGGCGCACTCCTGAATTCAGGTGAGACATTAAACTGAGGTCCCCCCAAAGCCTTTCAAGGGTGGGATGGTCACCCCCAATGCAAATGACTGTGAGCAACACTGTGGCATCAACCGTCCTGTCTCATTTGGATCAGTAGCGCCCCCCTCAGGTCTACCTGTCAACTCCAGGAAGGGAGAAGACCGGGAACTGTGAGGGGTTTTCCGGGCGACTCCGGAATGGCGGTGTTTTGCAGCGGCCGCAGCACTGCGACTCAGCAGCGGGTCACCTGCGTCACTGTGCGGTGCTGCGGCGGTGCGGTCAGTACCTGAGGTTCCGGAGCTCTCCCCTCGTCACCCGGACCTCCCGCTCCAGGGGGCTGCAGGCCCCGCCCCCCGCGGCCATCCCCACCGCGAGCCCCGCACTCACCCACAGGGACAGGGACACGGACAGGGGAAGGCCCGGCCCGGCCCGGCCCGCGCGTCACGTGACCCCGCCCCCCCCCCCCGGGCACGGCACCCGGAAGTGACGTCGGCTCAGAAGGCAGGAGGGGGTGGGCGGGGAAGGAGGAAGAGGGGGGGATGGGCGGAGGAGGAGAGGGAGAGTGACGGGAAGGTGAGAGTGACGGGGAGGGAGAGTGACGGAGAGGGAGAGTGACGGGGAGGAGAGAGAGAGTGACGGGGAGGAGCGGGAGAGTGACGGGGAGGAGCGGGAGAGTGACGGGAGGAGCGGAGAGTGACGGAGAGGGAGAGTGACGGGGAGGAGAGGGAGAGTGACGGAGAGGGAGAGTGACGGAGAGGGAGAGTGACGGGGAGGAGCGGGAGAGTGACGGGAAGGTGAGAGTGACGGGGAGGAGAGAGAGAGTGACGGGGAGGAGCGGGAGAGTGACGGGGAGGAGCGGGAGTGTGACGGGAGGTGAGAGTGACGGGAGGAGCGGGAGAGTGACGGAGAGGGAGAGTGACGGAGAGGGAGAGTGACGGGGAGGAGCGGGAGAGTGACGGAAGGTGAGAGTGACGGGGAGGAGAGAGAGAGTGACGGGGAGGAGCGGGAGAGTGACGGGGAGGAGCGGGAGAGTGACGGGGAGGAGCGGGAGAGTGACGGGGAGGAGCGGGAGAGTGACGGGGAGGAGAGGGAGAGTGACGGGGAGGAGCGGGAGAGTGACGGAGCGGGAGAGTGACGGGGAGGAGAGAGAGAGTGACGGGGAGGAGCGGGAGAGTGACGGGGAGGAGCGGGAGTGTGACGGGGAGGAGAGGGAGAGTGACGGGGAGCAGCGGGAGAGTGACGGGGAGGAGCGGGAGAGTGACGGGGAGGAGCGGGAGAGTGACGGGAAGGTGAGAGTGACGGGGAGGAGCGGGAGAGTGACGGGGAGGAGAGGGAGAGTGACGGAGAGGGAGAGTGACGGAGAGGGAGAGTGACGGGGAGGAGCGGGAGAGTGACGGGGAGGAGCGGGAGAGTGACGGGAAGGTGAGAGTGACGGGGAGGAGCGGGAGAGTGACGGGGAGGAGAGGGAGAGTGACGGCGAGGGAGAGTGATGGAGCAGGAGAGTGACGGGGAGGAGAGAGAGAGTGATGGGGAGGAGCGGGAGAGTGACGGGGAGGAGCGGGAGAGTGACGGGGAGGAGCGGGAGAGTGACGGGAGGAGGAGAGAGAGTGACGGAGAGGGAGAGTGATGGAGCGGGAGAGTGACGGGGAGGAGAGAGAGTGACGGAAGCGGGAGAGTGACGGGAGAGAGAAGAGAGTGACGGGGAGGAGCGGAGATGACGGGAGGAGAGGGAGAGTTACGGGGAGAAGCGGGAGAGTGACGGGGAGGAGCGGGAGAGTGACGGGGAGGAGCGGGAGAGTGACGGGGAGGAGCGGAGAGTGACGGGGAGGAGCGGGAGAGTGACGGGGAGGAGCGGGAGAGAGTGACGGGAGGAGCGGGAGAGTGACGGGGAGGAGAGTGAGAGTGATGGAGCAGGAGAGTGACGGGGAGGAGTGGGAGAGTGGGAAGGAGCGGGAGAGTGACGGGGAGGAGCGGGAGAGTGACGGGGAGGAGCGGGAGAGTGACGGGGAGGAGCGGGAGAGTGACGGGGAGGAGCGGGAGAGTGACGGGGAAGGAGAGGGAATTCACAAGTGAATTCACTGTATTTTGTAGGCGAAACATTTCAGTTTCATCATCATCGTCATCCATCCCCACTCCCCGCAGCGGTTTGCCAGCCTTTCTTTGGCCCTTTCTCCAGGTTTTCTTTGCACCTTCTCCAGTGTTCCTTGCCCATCTACAACAACAACAACTTGCATTTATATTACGCTCTTCACACGGAGTAGCGTCTCGGAGTGCTTAATCTAGTCAATTCACACAACAGTATATTCTGTGAAGCACTTTGAGACATCTTGAAGGTGTGATAAGACATTATATCAAATGCAAAGATTATTAGTATTATCTATTGTCGCTCTGAGAGGCCAATGATGGGATCTTCCACCAATACTCTTGACAGCTGGACTCCCCAGGATTTCCCTCTACATGCTGCAGACTATTAAGAATTAAACAGCCTGTATCATCTCCCAAGCCAAGCTTCCGAACCTATCCGCCCCCATCGGCCCTCGGCTCCGCTGGCTCCCCAACGCCCAGTGGTTGAGTTCAAGATAATAATAATAATAATAATAATCCTTGCATTTGATATAGCGCTTTTCACGTCGGGAGGACGTCCCAAAGCGCTTCACAGAACACAGTAAAGTGAATTGACTGTATATTTGTGGGCGAACGCGGCAGCCAATTGCGCACAGCAATGTCCCACAAACAGTCGTAGATTGAAAATGACCAATTTATTATTGTTTTTGGTTTTGGAGGGATTATTATTAGGCTCTGTGTGGAGTAAGGAAACTTGCCCAAGGTCTCGCCCTCTGCCTGGAAGATCTTCGTTCTCACCTTAAATCCCTCCCCAGGCTCATCTCACCCTACTGAAACTTCCTGCAAACTTGTTGTCCTGGCTGCTCCCTCCACTCAAATAAACACTGCTTCAAATCTCCCATTTGATTTGCCCTACCATTGGTGGGCAAGCTTTCATTCATCTCGCCCCAACTCTCTGGAACTCCATCCTGGAGCCACTCTGTCTCTACTTTCAAAGTCTGCCTCAAGACCCAGTGCCTTGGGACATCCTCCCGGCTTGAAGGGCACTGTACAAATATATTTTTGTATTGTATTGCAAGCCTTGTTTTGACCATGCTCTGTAATTTTTCCCCTTCCTATCCTCCCTCTCCTCCACCCTAGCTGAGGTGCCCAGCCAGCTGTGTAAAGTGCTTTGACACAACTTCCCGATGTGAAACTCACTTTTTTTATAATGAAGGAGCAGAAATAATAGTCAGTATATGTCAATGGTACGTCAGAGATGATGAAGCAGGGGAGGTCACTCGTGAAGTGAATCTGGAGGATTGTTGGACAGGATACTGGGAGAAACTCACTTCACTTTTTGAATATTGTAATTGGATCTTTAATGACCACTTGAACAAGCAGACTCTGTTTAAAGCCTCATCTGAAGGAGGGTTCTCTAACAATACTGTGCTCTGCCAGTACCTCACTGGAAGGTCAGTTTAGATGATGAGCTGACATGGTGCTTGCGATAACATTAAACAAACTAATTAAACCAATAGGTAGAGTGTAACACTCACTATAAACTATTGTATGTATCATAGGGAGCCCTACTAGATATAGCTAGATAAAGCTGTACACCCATACTGTACTGTGTTGTGGGGAGAAATTTACAACAACAAATTATACTTGTATAGCGCCATTTATGTCGGAAAGACGTCCCAGGGAGCTGGGTAACCGGGGGTTTTGGACCCGAGCTGGAAGTTAGGGTCAGAAGGGTAGAAGGATAGAGTGAGTGGGGGGGGGTGGGAGTGTGGCCGAAGGCATGGTCGAAGAGGAAGATCTTCAGACGGACTTGAAGGAGGCAAGAGAGGGGACGAGGCAGGATAGAGTTCCAGAGTGTGGGGCAGAGAAGCTGAATGCCCAATCGCCAATGGTGGGGCAGGAAGTATGGAGGGACCTGAAACAGGCCGGTGTCTGCCGAGCGGAGGGAGCGGACAGGCTGATATGGGATTATGAGGTCGGAGAGATAGGGAGCAGAAAGATCGTGGAGGGCCTTGAAGGTAAGAACGAGGGTCCTGCATTCAATTGTCTGAGGAATGGGGAGCAGTGAAGCCGGTCAAGAATGGGGGTGATAGGTTCCCGGAGTCTGGCGTGGGAGAGGATACAAGCTGCAGAGTTCTGAATAATCTGCAGTTTGTGGAGGGAAGAGTTGTGAATTCTATGGTTAAAACCACCACCAAAACTTAATCAACCCATGTTTTGTACATAGACTTGAGCTTGAAGATGATCATCTTTTTGTTAATTTCTCATGACCACCGCAGACTTTTAGTCTTCCCTTTATACATTTTTTTTCTTTTGGCTTATCTCCTGCAGGGTTAATAATCTGCAGACTTTCTGTCGAATTGATCTAAAAATGTGGTAAGTTAAAATTTGCAGCGTTAGGCTAGCAGTTTCAGTGCAATTCAGTGTAACAAACAGTGTGAAACTGCTTGAGGAGATAATCTCACACTGCTTTGGATTCACGCGGAGCACTGCAACTCGTCTGAAGCAAACCTTTTAAACTATAAATTCAAAGCTTTATAAGTTCCCAGGTGATCCGCGTCTTTAATAACATAAAAAATGTTCTGCGGCATTGGGAGGCTGGTGAGCAGAGCTCTATGTATGCTTTGAAGTATACTTGTGGAGAGCTTCACTTTGCCTGGTACAAAGTGACATAAGTGGAGATGAATAATGACAAATTAATGTGATAATTATCACCAGTGACATTATCATATTATTAAATTCCTGGCAATGGCCCAGGCAAAGTCACCCCCCACTTCCCCCACCCTTCCATTTTAAAAACAGCTGGGTCTGAAGCCGTTTCCAGTATTAAACTGGTATTATAGTAAGTGTCACTGAGGGAGACTATAAGTTGATTTTAGGTGGTTCCCTGTGGAATGAAAGAGAATTGGCAGTTTGAAGATCACTTTTGTTTACCACTATAGCTCAGAGGAAATGCTACTTATAAGCAAATTTAAAAGCAATTTGGTGCGTATTAATTAAAAGGAAAACACATAGTTGAAGGAAACTTGCCATTACCATTTCACAGACCCAGAAATGTCATAATCTGAACATTGGAATATTTTGCTTTCATCTCAACAGTGAGCCATGAATATTTTTCTGTTCAGTAAATTGGGTGCAAATTAGTGTATGGTACCATGCTTTTAGTCATCTTTCTCTCTAGGCTCCCAACTCCATGTCGGATACCAAACCAGCATTGTTAAAACTTGGGACAGCCTCCCAACATGAAAGGTGCTATACAAATGTAAAATTTTATTGTATAATAGGTGTTAATGTCATATTTAGAAATGGTCTCATAATTCCATGAATCTAGTTTGTTTAGTAATTTGATGTTGATTAAACAATACACAGCTGCAAAGCAATGGTTGCAAATGCTCTTAATAATTTGCTATGACTTTTACACTCATAACTGGCCACTAATCTGAGTTAGTCAGCTTTATATCACCTCCTCCTCAAGACCAATTTCTCTGAAATTAAGAATTCATTTTCCCTTGTAAATAATATTTCACTAATTTGTTCATGTAAATGAGACAGTGTCTGCCTAACCGTGTGTCCTAGATGTAGAATTTCAAAACAGAACTTTCATCCTATAAAAATTGAAAAATGCAATGAAACATTTCAAAATATTTTCAGCCAGTAACGGCCGCTAGTAACACCCGAGACACGCCCCCCCCCCCACCGCCTGGACTCACTCACTCCCCCTCCCCCCCGCCTGGTATTGATTCTATTATTTTTGTTTAGAACAAAGTGACCTAAGAAAGCATGGAATTTAAAAATTATTCAGTGCATCTGGCCCATTTCTTCAATGAACAATGCAAAACCTTCCCTACTGGGGAGTCCACCACACATGAATGTTTCCTGTAAGAAAGTTTCCATACAGTCATTTGCTGATATCCAAACACAATCAATACACAACCCCAGAATATTCACCCACATCTCTCCTATTTAACCTTTTCCTATTTATCCTTCACAAACACCATTGCACACTCATGTCCAGCCCTTGTATGATAAGAGTTTATTGTGTCTCATAAACCATAGAACCATAGAAATTTACATCACAGAAGACCATTCTCTTCTCACTATATGGCTGTTTGTGGGACATTGCTGTGCACAATTGGCTGTCACAATTTGCTCACAAAATACACTTTACAGTATATTCTGTGAAGCAATTTGAGACATCTTGAAGATGTTATAAGGCACTATATCAAATGCAAGGATGATTATTATTATATTATTATTCACCCATTGTGCCAGTGCTGAGCAATCATTTCATGCCCATTTCTCCTTTCCCTTGTGCCCCTGTAGTTTACTCTTTTTTAGATACATAATTTAGTTCCCTTTTGAAAACTAAAATGAATTCTGCCTCATTCCATATCCTAACAACTCTGTGTGTGATAAACTTTCTCCTGAACTCCCCATTTGCTTGTTTGCTAACTCTTAAATTGATGCCCTCCAGTCACTGAGTCACCGACCAGTGGAAATAATTTCTCCCTATTGACTATTAAAAGAAAACTACAGGTACTTACCTTGTAGGATCTTTTTCATTTTTGAATGTCTGCATTCCTCCACACACAAAATCAAAAGAGACCCAGTAGTCACTGGGGACAGGGATTCTTCCTACTTGGTTCCTGTTAAACCTGCAAGTCAAAGCCCTAACGGGCAGGGTAATTAACAACTGGAACAGGTTCAGGCCTGGACATTGGACTCATTTAAAATACAGCTTGAATCTGTAATATGAGGATCATAGGTTGGGTGTTCTGGAAGGATGCAATCAAGTGGACTCAAGGGCCCTTCTTCTTCTGAAACAATCTCGTAACCTTGTGAAGAACAACAACGTACATTTATATGGTGCCTTTCAGGTAGATTAATGTCTTGGAGTGCTTTGTAGTGATGGTGTCAGACTCTGAATAGGGAAGAGGGGGCAAGGGGGAGATGTCAATAGACATAGTCAAAGAGATAAAGTAAGTGGCGATTGAAGTCATATAGAAAGGGGGATGGGGAGATGGAGTGGTAGAGGGAGGAAATTCCAGAGGTTTGAGACACAGAATCTGAAAGCTCAGCCACCGATGGTGGAATGAGAAGGGTGGGAGATTCACAGTAAGCCCAAGTTAGCTGAGCAATGGGGGTAGCAGTTGAGCAGGATCGGAGATCAGAGAGATCATAATAATAATAATAATCTTTGCATTTGATATAGAGCCTTATCACGTCATTGAGACGTCTCAAAGTGCTTCACAGGATATAATGTAAAGTGAATTGACTGTAGTTTATTGGCAAAATGTATCATCAAACCTATTTCACCATTTTATAAGATTACGACATGACACATCCAATTCCCAGCATTTTCTACTTTTCCTTTAATACTCTACCAGTTCTATCAATAGTCAATAATAATAGTTAATTGAATATTCATTATAGAATGTAAAATTCAGTTCTTCTCTGGGTGCTTAGTTTTTGCATAGTCCTCAAGAGGGAGCTATAATCCTGTTGTTTGGGTAGATTGGCCAGCAGCAAACATTGTCGACCTTGTGGGAAACTAAATGTCAATAAGTTATTAAACTGAACTTCTGTGAAAATTGAGTCCTAATGATTCATAAATGTGGACCCTGCTACATTTTTAAACTATAATTTTTCAAAGGCAAAAGATGGGAGAAGATTTTTCTTCTATTAAATTATTCCCCGTCTGATCTGCTTGGGGTAGTCATGTATGCTTCGGGACCACATCACTCCCACCCTCGCTCGCCTCCACTGGCTCCCCATCCCCCAGAGGATTGATTTCAAGATCCTCATCCTCACCTACAAGGCCATTCACGGCCTTGCTCCCTCCTACCTCTCCGACCTACTATCCCCCTACCTACCTGCCCGTACCCTCCGTTCCTCTGGCTCCGGTCTGCTCCACGTCCCCCGCCCCAATCGCCCTACCATCGGTGGTCGGGCCTTCAGCCTCTCAGCCCCTAGGCTCTGGAACTCCATCCCCCAGTGCCTTCGCCGCCTCCTCCCTTTCCTCCTTCAAGGCCGGTCTCAAGACCTTTCTCTTTGACCGAGCCTTCAGCTCCCCTCTCGACTCTCTTCCCCCTCCTCGCTCCCTCCCTTCCCTCCCCTCACCCTGACCATTTCCCCCCTGCTCGGGTCATGACCCAACTGTGCAGCGCCTTGGGACGTCCTCCTGACGTGAAAGGCGCTTTACAAATGGAATCTTGTTGTTGTTGTTGTTGTATGCAACCACGCTTGCTCCCAGATAGCTCTCAATTTAGTTGCCACCAACAACACCCTGGCAATGACTGCCTCCTGCAATATTACCTTCTTCCTGCACGAGATAGTGAAGTGACTGGTTACTGCCTCCCTATATGTTGTGTCTCAGATCAAGAACTCTCCTGAACAAAGAGTGAACCTAAAGAGAGTCCCTAGACTTCCCAAAGGATTTTGATAAAGTATTCCACAGGACACTTCTTTACAAACTTTACCCCGCCCCATAGTTTAACAGTTTGACTGCACTCAAGTTCTAAGATCACAATGTCATGTCCACTTTAATAAGTAAATACTGTAGAAAGCTGTTGCCATCAATGTATGTGAACGCCTGAACAAGTAAACACCTTCAGAGAGGGGGAAGTGCTGCATTTTTGGAAAATGATCAAATACATCTGGAATGCAATTTGCAGAATTTGAAGAAGACAGCTCAATCTGTCAACTGGTGCAACCGGTGAGAGAAAGGGATAGTAACAGTGGAGTTACTAAGTATCTTTCTCATAAATGGCAAATTATTGAAATTCCATTATTTCTATTGTGCTACAAAACCATTCAAAATTAGTTGCCTAGTTTGAGTGCTGTTGTATGCAGCAGGTACAGAGAACTGCAACAGACCTCGAGAGATTAGAAATGTTCCCTATCTGAAAATATACATTACTGTTTTATTGTTTTACAGTTAAACACAGCATTGTTAGTTCATTAATATTTATTTCAAATAATTTTATGTACAATTAAATTTACGTTTAACTAAAAAACAACAATACAGGTATGTGGAATATTATGCTGGTGCTTCTTCCAGTGACTGCTGCAGATATGATCTCCATTTCCACAGAAAACTCACCATTTAAATGCAATATTAATAATAATTTGTATTAATAAGGATAAACCTTTGTATTTGATATAGCGGTTTATTGTGACAAAGCATCTCATTGGTTGGAGGATGATATCTCTGACAACCAACAAATGAATTTGCCAACAAATTCACTTAAAAAATCACAAAACAAATGTGATCCATAACAAGCTTTTGGACAAGTTTCCTTACCCCACACACCTCAGTTTAGCCAGCAGTAAGAAATACTGCGGTGCACAATTGGCTGCCACATTTTGTCCACAAAATATACAATTCACTTTACAATATATTCTGTGAAGCGCGTTGAGACGTCTCAATGACATGATAAGGCGCTATATCAAATGCAAGGATTATTATTATTACCAAAATGTTGGCCTTTTCCACAAATTTGTGAGCTAATAATTTTACAACAATTTACATTCGTAAATTATCATTATTGGACGACCTTTTCGTTTCACCTACCTAGAGTTCCAAGTCATCTTCAAAATATTTTCTTTACAAAATATTGCTAAAATTAACATGCCTGACTCCTTTCTGCACACCTTAAAGAACAGAGGTAACTTATTTATTTGATCAGGTTGCTTAATGTGTCTTGTTGTACCTTCAATACTGCTTGATCCACATTCATCCCACTTAATTAAAATCATCTGTATTAAAGGAAAGCTCAGTTAATTGAAAATTAAAGCCGTATTAGAATTTATTGAACCCATTATTATACGTGATCGTGTTCTGTATTTCTAAATATTTAACAATTTTGTTTCAATTTGATGTTTCCTTACTAAGGCATGAATTATGTATAGCTGACGATCTCTTACAATGATGGTGTATTTTTTGTGCTCTCTGAGTGCTGTAAATAGATAACAATAACTGTAAACCAAGATTATCAATGCAGTTTGTCAGGTTGGGCGTGCCATTGAATACTCCCTTTGCAATCCTGATAAAGGATTAACCCAAGGATTCATTGCTGCTCTGGAAACAAGAGATTATTTGAAATGTCATAGTGACAGAGAGCCATACAGCAGCTGTTAATGTTCGTACGGGACACTTGTAACCCATTTTGTTTGGAGGAGCCCCCAAACAGCTTTTACAGTGATACTAGAAAAGCAGCCACTAGTTATTTTCCCCATATTCATTCAGTTATCCTAATTCAATTAGTTCAATTTTAAAAATACTACAATTCTACTTTTTTTATCCCAAATGAATATGAAATAATGCGACCTATTACATGAATTGTGTAAATCACAGATGTTATTAATTACAATATGTAATTAAATAATGGAAAGAATTACAGATAATCCTTTTTATTACTTGTTAGTTATATAGTCAAATATAGCCATGCCTAAGTACCACTAGTTAACTGAGGGCTGTGGATGTTAAACCTGCACAAAATTAGTTTTGTGCTTCTCGGGGCCAGAAAGACCCTTGAGCTTTATTAGGTTAATGCAAAACTCTGAATTGGTTGTAGTAATTCCCTCTGGACACATGTGTTTGAATGTAATTTACACATTTCACATAATAGATGCAAGTATTGAGTTTGTTATAATTTGGTCCTACTATAGGCACATCCAGATACTAGTAAAGATGCCAATAGGGTCTAAATGGTTACAAAGCTAAGGTCACTGAGATAATTGTACCTTCTGCTTTCAGCATATTTTGCAAACAAATGCTGAAGAAAATTATGATCTCCAACACTGGGAAGAGTCAAATTATGATTGGCTTTCCAATCCTTTCTCAGACTTTTCAGGATTTTTCTGAGGTAAGAAATAGCCTGAAAGCAAACACAGGCTGTGATTGTGGAGTCCTGTAGTATTGTGGTTAAAGGACTCGCCTCGCAAGCGAGGGGACTCATCTTCGATTCCTGAGCAGGGCGTAACCTTAGACAAGTTTCCTTGCTTCACATGCCGTTGTTACCCCACAGTAACTCGAGTTTGCTACCTTCTCCGTGCTGCCATCGGTTCCCGAGCATTCAAATTCTGCACCCCTAATCGCTGAACTGGCTCCAAGGTGACTTGTTTGGCAATGGAATGTCAGAATTGAGCCAGCCCTGTGTGGTGGCCTCAGTGGTCCGGTTCCTGAGCAAAGTGGGTCCACCTTACTCCAGGGAACTACTGATGAAAGCACAGCCAGCCTGGCTCATCGGCAGAACTTGGAAGGGCAGACCGGTCACTGGGGGCAGGAAGTCATCCTACTCAGCTCCTGCTAACCCTGCATGCCAATGCCCTAATGGGTAGGACGGTCCGAGCTGGACAAGCAGTGGGAAAGCTCGCCTCATTGATTGATATTTGAGTGTCAGTGTATATAGTTGTCAGGTGTTGGGTCCCTCAGAAACTCGTGCTAGGAGGTTTGACAATCATCTGGAAAATTATTCCCACTTTTTAATCAAACAGAAATATGTTTACTGAAGAATACCCACATTTGCACTGTGCAAATTGATAAGCAACTTGACTAGTGAGACTGGAGTTGGCTTAAACTGTATGTGTAGCTCTCTAAGGAAGTTTAACAGATCACTGTTAAGATGATTTTTTTTACCACTAGGACTAAATCAATATTAATTCAAAGGTTAGTTTACTGAACATACCGAGGCATAGCAAGGGAAGCTGACCTTAAGCGGTGCACGGAATCTTATATGTCTACATTTTATTTTGCCAACATAAATCAATTGAAAAGTTGAAATGAATGATATTCACTTTCAAATTATAATAATAGCATCTATCCTAGATTGATTGCTGAATATAGTGATCTTTGCAAAGTTTCTTTGTAATTACTCTAATGCTTTTTATGTTATTGTGTTGATTTGCAGTGTATTGTTTGGTTATATAGATAAATGCACATTTACAATATCTATATAAATTGTTCAACTGATAGCAAATATATTTCATTCGTAGAGTAGAATACTTAAATCACTAGTAATGATTTGTAGCTATATTTTCCAAGCTGATTAAAGTAAATACTGTACATTCCTGTACACACATAAGAAAAATCTAAATAAACTTTTGCTGCTGCATAAATATTAAAGATTCTTTAAACTACCCCAGTGATATATTGTTTTCCTTTTATTTTCTGAATTGTTCTCTATGTTTGTTTAGGGTGATTTTCACCCCACTCCATCTATTCATATCTATTATAAAATACAAGTCAATATGTGGTGTCAGTCATTGACAAGAATAAATTCTTTAGTGGATATTACCTACATAACAGTAGCTTATGCCAATGGCAAATTATAAAGTTGATACAGGACTTCTGATTTCTCAGTAAACATAAAGGTCAATCTTTTCCCTGCAGGGAGTGCTTCTGTATTGATACTTCCTGTGCATGCACACTATATGCAGGAGGTACCGCTGATGTGACTTAAGTGGCATCACCAGTGCTTCTTGCACATAGTGCACATTCGTAGCAATGCATTCGTAATGTCAGCAGCTCTTCTTGCACATAGTGTCCATGCACACAACACACAGGAACTGAGATAAGTGATGACTCAGGAGTCTGCTTTTCTTAGCAGTTCACCTATTGGACCCAGAGGAGCACATTATAATGGGTTCCCCTGTCTTTGCTGCCAGAAAATATGGTAGGGAAGGTCAGAAATGAAGACCCAACAAAGATGGAAAAGATCGACCTTTATGTTAACTGAGAAATCAGAAGTCCTTAGAAACTAAGCCATCAGCCTTCATTTAGGATCTTATATTCTATGATATTAATAGGTTATTTTATTTGAAAAAATCTGAGCAACACAAAGTACATCAAGCATTTCAATCTGATCCACTAGCTCTCCAAAGCTAGATGAATAAGCATCAAGAATCAGTTTGATGTACTTATGGCTTCCTTCTTAAGGAATCTCATTAGCAATTACCAAATATATCCCTTTATCTGTTTTTGAGATGCCTTATTATTTTAAAGTCTTCCTTTCTCCCTTTCGCATATAAGGCAAATTGAGAGGAAAATTGTTGGTGCACACACACATTTTGCTTGTCTGTGGTGCAGCACTCAAGGGTTCTCAATTCAATGTGCCACCACACTGCTTTATTTTGTACTTCTAAATTTGAATGTCTTTATGAGTTCTTACTGAAGACAAAAAATACTATCATTATCTCTTCAGTGTAATTAAATCCTATCAACGAAGCCTAGTTAGTTAAGATGTGTGACATTTTACAAGTACACTGGATGTTTCTCTTCAAGTGGCATGTTCTCTTCTGGTAAATCTTCCAATTGGAATTTTAAATTCTCTAGGAATTCAGTATTGGGTGACTTTATTTCCTTAGTCAGATCTAAAAGAAAGAGAAAAATATGTTATAAATTGATAAGGTAAATACTCTGATTTGGTGTTAAGGGCTCTGAGATGTTACCCATGTGAAGGGCACTATACTGTATAAATACAAGTTAATTTTGATGTTGTAGGTGCATTACAATTATCCCTCTACTGAGATACGTTAGCAGATTAACCAATTTTTCAATGTCCCATTTAATTCAAATGAGATAATAAATATCTTAGAAGATGTATAGTTTGCCATGTAGATTCATATAAATTATATCCTATAAACATTATTAAAATGGTCTAATTTCATTAATCCTTGAATAAGATGATTGTAAATAGTTGAGTCAGTAGATATGACAAAATAAATGTTATATTTTAGAAGTAAATTAGTAGCATTTCATAATGTGTTCAATGTTAGAATTATTGCAGCGAACACATTCTGTGAAGTTTTTCTTTATGCAGTGCATATCAATGACTGGAACAGATTGCCAGGAAAGGTGGTATAGACCAGGACACTAGACTCATTTAAAAAGCATCTTGATGTAGTGTTGGGGGACAGTAAGGTGGGTATTCTGGAAGGATGAGATCAAATGGGATGAAGGTCCTTCTTCATTCAAATCAGTCCTATGAAGTACCATTAATTTATCCCTTTTCTGTGACTTTTATTATATGTTATCTATGAAAATGTGTATTTTGAGGGAGGAGAGAGAAGGGAGTTTCTGGCCAAAAAATCCCCCCAAATAAAATCGGTCACTCACTCCATGGCTGTTTGTGGGACATTTATGTGTGCAACTGACTGCTGCATTTCACACACAAAATACACAGTCAATCCACTTTACAGTATATCCTGTGATGCATTTTGAGACGTCTCAACAACATGATAAGGAGGTATATCAAATGTGAGGATTATTATTATTATTAATACGAGGTAAGGGAAATAGCTGAACTGGTAAAGGTGACATGCTTGGCAATGAATGGGAGAATCAAATCAATCCCCTGTGGTCTTGGTAGTCTGGTTCCTGGGCCAGGAGGCTCCATAGTACTCCTAAGAACTCCTGATGACCAACCTGGCTCATCAGCAACACTTGGAGGTGTAGACTTCTAAATGTAATTTTGTTGTTGTTGTAGACCAGTAACTGGGGGCAGGGATCCATTCCACTTGTCTCCCGCCAACCCTGCAAGCCAAAGCTCTAACAGGTAGGGCGGTCCAAGCTGGTCAAGCAGTTAGCAGCTTAGCAAACAGTGCTCTCAGTGTCAAGCTATGGATTTTTAGCAGGTTAAAAATCCAGAAATGTCACTCTTCTGCCATACGTGGTTGTGGGTTTCTGCATGTGTCACCCAGCTGACCAAAATAAAATGTGCCAATGGGCCATTCAGACCCGACTATCATTCATTCCAGACTTGCAGACAATCACTGGTACATTGGCATAGAACTAATAATATAAAATTTAGAGGCTGAACCCAATGCCATATCCCAGGATACCAGTTTAACTTTGCTATAAAGGTCCTCGGCTAATTCACTCAAACCAGCTCTCATTTGTGTATTCCAAATTGCGCAACTTGGGAAACTGATCCATAGCTACTGCTGCTCACTGTGCGCTGGCATCCTGCTGGAAATTATGAGCGTAAGGATTTGGTAGGCTTAGCTCCAATGCTCCATCTGAGTGACTAGCTCATAACACTTGTGAGCTAAAAAGTGTCCTGTCACTAAATATAGTGTCTTTGATTATGTGCGCTTATAACAACAGCATTGCCTTATAAGTATGTCTCATAAAAAGTTTCTACACAATGAATTTCAAGCATAAGAGATCACTGTGTTCAAGAAAGATGGGAGGGGGGAAAGGAAAGAGAATAAAATTAGGAAAACAAAATGTAAAACATTGCGTTCTTGAGGAATTATGTCAACTGTCTTTTCTCCACCACGTTCAAGCCATGACCCGCTCTGCCTTCCCTCATCTCCGTAACTTCGCCTGACTCCGCCACTACCTCACCCCTCAGGCCGCTGAAACTCTTGTTCATGCCTTCATCACCTCCAGCCTCGACTATGCAAACGCTCTGCTTGTCGGCCTCCCCAACTCCTCCCTCCACAGGCTGCAGATAATCCAGAACTCTGCAGCCCGTGTCCTCTCCCGCACCAAACTCTGACCCCATCTTCCCCACTCTCGTCCGACTCCACTGGCTCCCTATCCTTCAGAGGATCGAGTTCAAGATCCTGGTCCTCAGCTACAAAGCCCTCCATGGCCTCCCCCCCGTACCTCTGCGACCTCCTAACCCCCTACCAACCCACCCGTTCCCTCCGCTCAGCCGGCTCTGGCCTGCTCCACGTCCACCGACCCACCCGTCCCACCATTGGTGGGAGAGCCTTCAGCCACTCTGCCCCCAACCTCTGGAATTCCATCCCCCAGTCACTCCGCTTTGCCCCCTCCTTAGCCTTCTTCAAGTCCCGCCTCAAGACCCTCCTCTTCGACCATGCCCTCGGCCAACCCCCTTCCCCTCCCTCCCTTCTCCCCCCAACCCCAGCTCGGGTCTGAAGATGCTGTACTCTGTCCAGCGCCTTGGGACGTCCTCCCAACGTGAAAGGCACTATACAAATGTAATCTTGTTGTTGTTTCTAAGTACCTGCTGAAGTAGTAGGAGCCTCCTCAATTACTGACAACTTTATACTTTCCTCCGCACATTCAGGCCTCTCACTTTCAGAAATAATAAGGGGTCTGTCTTCTGCCTCATCCTCGAGCTGCTGTACAATCTCTGGCTCAGACTCAGCCTTCTTAGAATGGCTTTTTCCTCTCCTTCCTCTTTTTTTCTTTGATTCAACCCTGTAAATGAGCATGATATAAAATGCAAAAAAATCTATTTTACAAGTTTGACAAACAACAACAACTTGTATTTATATAGCGCCCTTCATATAGGACAGTGTCTTGGAGTGTTGCACAATGGCAGGCTTGGACAATGAACAACATGGGGAGGTGATCATAAGAGTGATTGTCTTAAATTGGGATTTAAATATGTTTGAGAGGCGGAGGGATTGAGGCAGTGAGTTCCAGAGGTTAGGGGAGTAGTGGTTGAAGGCAGAACCTCCAGTGATGGCGAGGAGGGTTTGGGAATGTGCAACAGGTCTGTCAAAGTCTTGGTGTATGAAGGAGCACACAGCAAAAAAAGTTTGTGGGACAGCAATGTCCCACAAACAGCCATGAAGGGAATGAACATTTTTTATCTGGAGGATTGTAGGCCAGGACACTGGGAGAAAGTCTGAAAACAATCTGGACAAATACTACTATGTAGTTGTTTATTGAAACACACTCCCTGTAGATTGACTTTATAAGTATGAAGTTCTTGGTGATCTTTACCATGGGTGTCAGTCTGGCTCAGTGGTAGCACTCTTGTCTCTGAGTAAGAAGGTTGTGGGTTTCATCCCCACATTGGGACTTGAAATCACATAGTCTAAGATGACACGCTAATGTAGCGCTGGAGCCGTGTTGCATTGTCTGAGGTGCCATCCTTCAGATGAAACATTAAACGGAGGTCCCGTCTGCCTATTCAGGTGAATGTTAAAAGATCCCATGGTATTATTCAAAAAGAGAAGGGAGTTTCTCCCGGTGTCCTGACCAACTAACCCCCAAATACAAATTGGTCACTCACTCCACGGTTGTTTGTGGGACATTGCTGTGTGCAAACAGGCTGCATCGTTTCTCCAACAAAATACACAATCAATCCACTTTGAAGCGCTTTGAGACATTGCACCCACAAATATATGGTCAATTCACTTTACAGCATATTCTGTGAAGCACTTTGAGACATTTAGAAGACATGAAAAGCGCTATATCAAATGCAAGGATTATTATTATTGTCTCTGACTCAATATTACCCACACATGGTTAATCTTATTATTTTTCACTAGGAAACTTGGATTTGGAATAGGCAACTGCATTTTATAATGCATTTCAAATGCATGTCTATGTATCCTATCTGAGTAAGTGGCCATTCATGTTTGAATATTGAGAGGATGAATGGGAAATGTTGTGGCCAAGATCAATCCTGTTGTCCACAGATGCAAAATTTTAAGCAGATGTCACCGAATTATGATTGCTTGATGGTGGGGGGGATAATCTTTCTAACAATTGCTTTAGGATGCAATAGACAGCATTGCAAGAGGACATATGTTTAGAGTTGTAAAGGGCGATTTCAAGACAGATACAAGGAAGTTTTTCTTTATTCAGGGGCTAATCAACGACTGGAACAGGAAAGGGTGGTAGACGCCAGGAGACTGGACTTATTTATAAAACAGCTTGATGCAGTGATGGGGGTGTCGGTAGGGTGGGTGTTCTGGAGGGATGAGTTTGGATGGGCCGCAGAGCCTTCTTCATCCAGACCAATCTTGTGATCTATTTAAGTCAATAGGGAAGAATTCCACCCAGAAACCTTGGCTATATTAATTTGCACTTGCCTTTCACAATAATATTGGAGGAACTATTCATTGATCAGTGAAGAGAATTTGGAGGATGTTGACTAAAGGCACAGTGAAAGAGGGGATTTTGAAGCAACAAGTAAAGGCGCAAGCTAAAAGGATTTTTGGAGAGTTTCATAGAGCAGGGTTATAGTAGCTGAAAGCTTGGCCACCAATGATGGAATGAGGTATTATTACACAGTCTTGGTCAAGGACAGGTGTAGAGTTTGAAGTGAAGCATAAGGTCAAACAAAATGCTATGGTTGCATATTCCCAAGAGAGCCTTTATCATCTTTAGGTCTTGGAATCAAGGGTAGAGAGGAAGACCTATGTGTCATCAACGTGCATGAGGAAATTAACCCCATGCCTGTGGATGTCACGAAGGGAAAGTATGTGAGAAATAGGAGAGAACCAAGGGTAGTGTCCTGGGTACACTGCAGGTGAACCATTCCTCCCTCACATCTCCCCACTCACCATCTACCTGTTTGCAGGAATACTTCAAAACATTCTACATGTGCTCTTGCCTGCTGGCACAAAGTTTTGATCTGGTTTGTGCTGTGCAATCCCATTCTTTAGAAACTGTACAAGTCAAACTCCATGTAGGAATTTTACAGCCATCAGAGAGAGGAGATGTTCATCTCATCAGTCTGGCCTGGCTACATATCATCCTCCCCCTTATGGCTCAGTGTTACTCTTATCAAATCTTACACAGTCACCCACTGGGAGGGTTCCTTCACTTGCATTTCCAATTTTCTTTTCTTGAGCTTTTCACGGTCTCTCAAGCGACGTGGAGAAATGTCTACAGGCAAAATATAAAACAACTGGTCATGCAACATAGTTTTTATTAAATCATAGAGGGGTCATTCGGTTTCATTCATTAAATATAGCAAATCGTTCCATGCGTGCTTACAATGAGATATCCCATGCACAAACACCTTCCCGGAAAGGTCACTGGATAACCATTAGGAATGGGAATCCTGACTGATTTTCCCTCCCTAGCCTGTAGCGCTGAGGTCAATTATAGCTCCCCTACTGTGGTTGCAGCTGAGATCAACACACTTTAGCACACACAAGGCATCAAACTGGGGATCAATTTCACTCTAAGCTTTGGTTTTACTGACTGAGCCTTTATATTTTTATGCTAAATCTTTGTTAAAGTTATTTGTTTCACTAGCTCTTTCTCTCTTGTGTGTGAGCTGGATGCATCTGTGAGCTCTGAATGATAATATTGTTACTCACTGCAAGGACAACCTCGCATTATGCTACTACAAAGCAAGACTAATTTTCTTTTCAAAGAGTCATATTTGCAACATAGCAATGCTGGTGCAGTGTTTCAAATTACTAATTTGGGGAGGCTTCAGTGTGTATACTCTTTAGTAACTAAAAAGTTTATTGTAAGCAATAGATTAACTTGCATTTATATAGAATTTTCAAAGAGAACATTCTAAGCATTTGACAAATGTTGTGTTGCATATCAAACAAGTGCTAACAGTTGGGAAGCAGTTTCCTGATCTCTTTTGGAAGTAGGGGAGAAATTTTAGAGCTCTTTTCCTTCTTGAAGGTTGGGTGTCGCTGTTGGTATTTAAGAGTGTTGGGGAGAGTCCATGATAAGGAAAATTGTTTGGGGCATATAAGAATATAAGAAATGCTAGATGAAAAATGACCAAGGTCCATCTAGTTTGATTTACACCTTTCTGGTGGTCACATACACATATGTCCCAAACTACCTATGTGCTATATCCCATAATGTTATTTTCTAAAAGAGAATTATCTAATCTGTGTTTGAACGAATCAACACCTCCTGCTTCAACTGTCTCCCTAGGGAGCCTGTTCAACAGGTTCACTATTCGCTCACTGAAATAGTGTTTGCGTAGATTCGTTCTGAATTTACCCCCTTCAATCGCAGGCCGTGTGCTCTGGTGTTACTATTCTGGACAAGTTGAAACAGCCTGTCGTGATCCATATTGTTTAACCCCTTTAGAATCTTAAAGACAGCAATCATGTCGCCTCTCAATCTTCTCTTTTCCAGCGTGAACAAGCCCAATTTACTTAGTCGCTCCTTATAGTCCAGACCCTCCATTCCCTCAATCATTTTGGTTGCCCTCTTCTGTATCTTCTCAATTTCTCCAATATCCTTTTTGTGCTGCAGTGACCAGAATTGTACACAGTACTCTAAGTATGGTCTCACCAATGAGTTATACAGTGGCAGGATTACTCCACTATTTCGGCTTGCTATTGATCTTTTGATAAATCCCAACATCTGGTTTGCTATATTCACTGTCACAAAGCATTGTTGGGAATAAGTAAAGCACTGGGGGACAGCCCCAGTGGTGTAATGGATAGAGCTGTAGTTTACAGACTAGGAGATAGCTTGTTCAAATTCCAGTTTATGCTTAGTTTGTTGGTCTCAGTATGGAGAGGTTAAATTGGCCCTAGCCTTTCCATGGTAAAAGTGGGGAAAAACAGCCACAGTTCCTGCTCCTGGTCTTTCTACAGCACTCAACTCAGTTGGGGCAGTAAAAGAGCTTTACCTTGCACCTAAAGCGTGTCAGGTTTTGTACACAGTGATAGCATAGTGCACACTTATCAGGAAAACATTCACTATTTGTATCTCTAACAAGCGCTTTGTTAGAGATACAAAAGTGAATGTTTTCCTGATATTTACTACCTTCATTGCAGAAAGATGCAATTTTAAATTTAAAATCTTGTGATATAAACAACTCTCAGAACATTACATTACAAGGAAATTGCTTTACATAGCAAAATAAAAAACAGAACAGTAACTATTGAAAGGAAGGTGGGTTCTTCTTGTTCATACGTATAAATTTGAATGATGTAGTCATTCTAAGAAAAAATCCTATTACATGCATAACATTGGGATGGACAAACAGGTTTGTTGCCAAATAGACAAAGTGATGGATTACATAATAAGGCAGCTATAATATTTCTGACAATGTAAAGAAAATAGCTGTAATGTGGTAATTTTTTTGTACACCCAGTGTATAGCAAATTATTCTGAAATATATATTTATAAGCAGGTCGATATTTCACCAACTCTTAAAAGGCTTTGAGCCCTTGGCATTATTGATTGTGAAGGGATCAATTGTTGCTTTATATTGTGAATATTATTTCATTTCAGTAAGTTTCCTATACTTTCTAATTCATGATTAACCTACTATTCAATATCACTAATGTTTTTAATCACACACAACTCCAGTGTACTGTGCTAACACAGTCAGCTGCCCATATTCACAATCCTCACGTAGGCTATACACCAGATGTGCAAACACATTACCATATTATTATTATTTTCTTCTTTACATTGTCAGAAATAATGTAGCTGTCCTATTAGTAATAAGTCAGTTTGTCCATTTGACAACAAGCCCTTTGTCCATGCCAACATTATGCATGTAATAGCATAATTTACAATTTAATTTACTTTGATTAGTAACACTTCAGCTTTCAAATTGAGCAGCAATTTTCAGCATTTTGAATGTTGTCTGTTTAAAGTAAGCAGCTATTTAATCTATGTCTAGCTTCCACTGGAGAGGGTTGTCATCTGAAAACTGGAACCCTAAATTTTTCATATGCTTAGACTCGAGACTATTTTCTTAAATTTTTAAATTGTATATAATTCTGGAAAAAGTTATTAATCAAACTTACTTTGGATGCTGCGCAATCTTACATTTAAGACAAAGGTCTTAAGCTCAAGTACATGAGTAGCAGTGGGAGAAATGTGACCTGGGTCAAGATTTACTTTAATAGCATTTCAGAGAATCCCAAATTTGACAAATTCTGAAATATTTTGCCTAAATTTCAAAGCTGGTTTTCCATAAGTTCTTTTGGGAGCTGTCGTAAACTGGCTTGAAAAATGAATTGAATAATTAGCCAATTTCTGGTCGTTCTATAATTCTATGTTAATAAAGTAAATTAAACCCAGGTAGAATTTCTTTTAGATTCTTAAAGCTTCAAGTCATTGAAATGAACTAGTATAACATACAATCATAGTTTTAAAAATATGTATACAGTTGTTGCAATTAGGTTTTGTTATTACTGTTATATACCTTGCATTGATCTTTAGATGCATTTTACAAGTTATTGCATCATTCTGAATAAATACACACCCTGATGTTTCACTAAACTTGCTTCAATTATCTTCTCTCACAAATATAAGTATTACCTGGAGTCTCCTTGCTGGAAGATTTCTGAGTCAATTTTTCCATGGCATTGTCTATGTCTTCCATGTTGTTGAGAATCTGCTTTCTTCTTGAAATAACAAGACAGCAAGAGATGAGTTTGAATCAGGTAATGATGTTTTTTTTTAAATATGTTGAGATAGTTTCAGGAGAACACACCCACAGATGTAGTGTTATCTAACATGTACAAGACGGAATTGTAGCAACATCCAGATGCATTTTTTTCTCAATCATATGATGAAAGGTTAATGTAGCGGGAAGAATCTTGTAAATGAAAATGAATGTTGCCTACAATAAATTTTATTTGTTGCCTCAAATAAAATTCTATAAGACAAATCCCTACAACACAGTGTCTAAGCTATTGTACACTGTCTACAAAACCAGTTACCCTACTCAGAGCGCTTTGAGACTTTTGACACTTAAAATGTTGTAATGCAAGTTATTCCCTTCTTTCTTAACTTCCATTTAAGATTCTGATTTTAATAGAATGGGATGGAAACTGTGACCTGTGATGTGTTACTCAACAATGAGGCCAGTCAATTGATGTCTTAACTTATTGACTGTTCAGCCGGTGTAAAACCCAACTGTGTTATAATGGTTTGGCCTGAAGTCAATCGTAGAACATGGCATTGGATCGCTGGTTAACAGGTTACTGGATTAACTCAACTAAAGAATCAGAGCTAAAATGGTGTTCCACTACCCAATCCAATACCTCACTCAGTGGTTGATAATCCACCAAATAGGTGCAAAGAACCAACTTCAGACCCTACCATTGTGCTGGAGTGAGGGGAGAGAGAATCACACTTAGCAAATAGTTCATAAATAAAGATGTTCACTGATCTCATTTTTCAACTGCGTTAATTAACACTTGCAAGTTGCAATTTTCACCCTTTGCATTTTACAAACTCAATTTTGAAACACATGCTTATAGGATTTCATTGTTTTACACAATGGAAAGTTGTTTCTGTCAAGTTCTAAGCTGCTCAAATAATTTAAACATCAATTTGGGTTCAAATTTGAGCAGTTGTTTTATGTTTAGTGGTGTGGTAATGCACAGTGCAACATTTAAAACACAAGTTAACTTGTTTAAAAATACAATACGGAAACCTTTGTTTATCTGTTTGTAATTCTACATTAAATACTGATCAGACAAGATAAAAGAGAATTGCTTAGCCCCGATTAAAGCATATGAGTGGCATGGGTGCTATAATAGTAAAATAAGTAAATCTTACATTTCACATTGGGAGGATATCTTAAATGATATAAAATGGAGTGACTGTGTATTTTGTAATTGAATGCAGCAGTCAATCTGTGCACAGCAATGTCCAACAAACAGCAATGAAGTGAGTGACCAATGTTATTTGGAAAGTTGTTGGCCAGGATACCAGAAGAAACTCCCTTCTCTTTTCGAATAGTGCCACAGGATCTTCAATATCCACAGACAAACAAGAGCTCAGTTTAATGTCTCACAAGGAGGCCGGCTCCTTCAGCAATGTAGCTCTTCCCCAGCACTACATTGGAATGTCAGCCCAGAAGATATGGTTTCCAAATCGTGACTTGGGGCTTGAACCCACAACCTTCTGACTCAGAGGCATCAGCGCTACTATCTGAACCCGGCTGACGTTGACACATAATAGAAATCTATAAGATCATTAGATGAACTTGTTATTTTTCTTTTCTTTTTATGCAGAACCATTAAATATACATCAGGAGAAATCCATCTCAGTCTAGATTTTCTCTTTTTATGTGCCATTTTTGAGTGTCAGAATTCGACATTTTTTAAAAAATTCAGGCTTAACTTAAAGTTGATTTCCTATAGTGCATAAATAACTTGCAGAAAATTAGTTTCAAAATTAAGACTATTTAAAAATTTACCAAATTACAAAGGCACTCCGAAATGTTACATTTATCCCAAACTCAGGTATAATTTCTACCTTATTAGGGTGGAAAGCATTTTGGTTTCCCCTTCTCTATCTTAGGTTACTGAGTCATAGCTGGATACAGTTTCACCAGTCATCTTCCAGTACCTCAGCCAAGTGATCAGGCATTTAATGTCTGATATTACAATCAATGTATGAACCCAGGCAGATCAGTCAACCAGGAGACCTGAGCCTGATCCTATACTCAACTGATGTCCACATATACAGACTTCATAGCAGGGATCAATGGTTAGTGATCCAAGTGGGAATCCAAGATGACTTTTTACCTCTGTAATTTACCGCCACTGAATCTCAGTGTAGTCCTTCAACTATTCTTTTGGCTGTGATCAGTGGAGTCCTGTAACATATTGGTTAGAGCATTCGCCTTGCAAACAAGAGGACCCCGATTTGATTCCAGGGTGGGGTAAAATTTTAGGCAAGTTTCCTTATTCCATATAAAATAATAATAATTTGGTTACTCAATCCACAACTGTTTGTGGAACACTGCTGTGCGCAATTGGCTGTCGCAATTCGCCCACAAAATATACAGTCAATTCACTTTAGAGTATAATTTGTGAAGCACTTTGAGATGTCTCCACGTTGTGATAAGGCGCTATATCAAATGCAAGGGTTATTACTATTATTATTATCAGCTCACTCAGAACGACCTGAGAACCTCTGGGTAATGTAGTTTAGTTTCACAACTGGGAATTGCCTTTAGCAATTCAGCTTTCAGGGGTCAATGGGGTGTTTAATATCTGAAATTACAATTGATAACACCATATCTAATATTGTTAAGAATACTATTTTAAGCATATCAATGCTGCTTCACTGTTAGCTCATTGTGTACTAGTGAGGCAGGCAGACTAGGATTAGTGTTTGGTCTTCACTGAATTAGCTGATCTCAGTCAGGAATTGGGAGGGTGGGGAGCGTGTCTGTCATGATTCCTACTGCTGGAAAATACACGTATATCATAGAATCATAGAATTATACAGCAAAGAAGGAGACCATTCAACCCATTGTATCTGTGCCGGCTCTTTGAAAAGGGTTATCGAAATCAGTCCCACTCCCCCACTCTCTCTCCATAGCCCTCCAAACTTGTCCTTATAATATTAGATAATTAGATAATAATATTAATAATTCAATGAGGACAACTTTGGACACAACTGTGAACCCCCTTCCCTTCCCCAGTCGAAAACTCTGCCATTACTCGCTATCCAGCCTCACACATGATGAATGATAAGTTGGCTGAGATACAGCAGGGAGGGAAGTGCCCATGTACTTTTCCCCAGTGTGAGTCAGCACCTTTAAGAAAGAAGGTGAGAGAGCAGTTTTATAAAAACAACGTGGAATAGAAAAAATGTACAGCAATTAAGAAGAACTAAATCTTTATATGTATAAGTTAAAAAAGGTTATTTACATAGAATGTAGAACATGGAAACAGGCCTTTGGCCCAATTACTCTGGGCCAGTATTTATACTCCACGCAAGTCTCCACCTACTCCTTATTCCCTCCAATACTCTCCTGTTATATGTTTCCTTCAAACTAATTTACTGCAGATATTGGCATTTCTCAAAATATTTCCAGGTTTTACAGGGGTCACTGCTTTATTTTAATATGGTGTCAATCAAGCAAAGCAAAGTAAATGATCAGCATATCCTGTCAGGGAATCAGTACAATTTCACTGAAATTGAAGAAGACATGGATGTTTTACTTATGTTAGATATAGTAAAAGAGCACGGAGATGGAGCTTGTGTAAACATAATAACTAAAATTTAGATACCCTGTATTGCTCTGTGATAATTAAAAAAGAATGATGCCCTTTACTTCCACAACCATAAAGCAAAGACGGTCATAAATTTTTCCTCCTTTCATTAAAATAAAAAGACAAATGTGTACGTCTGTATCGTAAATCAGTCTGTGATAATTTTATTGGACACTGAATTCTACTTAGGGTATTAAAATCTTTTCTCTGCTCTTATGTTTATTTCCCATAATATGACTTGTGGGGAATAAACAGAATGCACAATTCAGCAATCTGAGTCTAATTTTAAAAAATGGAGTGATAGAAACATGCTACCTTTTATCTTCTTGCTAAGATTTGTGCTTCGACTGTTGAAAATTATAGCCCTTAGGCCATTGCAGCAAAAGCATGTTTTTTGTTAGCTCCAGCAATGTTTGCTTTGACAAACTTATCTATCCAATAAACTCTTTTCTCCCTTTTAGTTTGTATAGTTTTAGTGATTTTCAGTGCATGTATATTTTGAAATGTGTGATATAATAATAATCCTTGCATTTGATATAGGGTCTTATCACATCTTCAAGACGTCTCAAAGCGCTTCACAGAATATACTGTCAAATGAATTGACTGCATATTTTGTGGGCTAAACGCGGCAGCCAATTGCACACAGCAGTGTCCCACAAAAAGTTGTGGACTGAAGTGACCAAATTATTATTTTTTTTGAAGGGATTATTACCCCCAGATAAGTGATCCACCAATTGACTAACAACTTACTGTTAGGTAAATAGAGGTGTGTGAAGTAAGGAAACTTGCCGAACGTTTTGCCCTGCCCGGGATTCCAGGTCCTCTCGCTTGTGAAGCGAGTGTTCTAACCACTAACAACAACAACTTGCATTCATATAGCACCCTCCACACAGGGTAGAGTCTCAGAGCACGCTTGAAAAGGAAGGTTTTCAGACAGGACTGGAAAAAGGGGAGAGGGGTCATGGTGGAGGGATTGAAGGAGAGTGTTCCAGAGTTTTGGGGTGTAGTGGCTGAAAGAGTCAACCTCCAATAGTGGAGCAGAGGGCGCGAAGAACAAGTAGGAGGCTGGAGGCTCGAGCGGAGGCACCGGGTGGTGGATTGGGGACTGAGGAGGCTGGTGAGGTAGGGAGGTGCCAGGGAGTGATGGGATTTTGAACACTAGTGTGAGGATCTTGAAGTCGATCCATTTGGCTTTGAGGAGCCTGTGGAGTCTGGCTTGAACCCGTGAAATGGGAGTATAGAGTTTGGTCCAGGTCAGTATGTGCAGGAGTCCACATAGCTTTTGACCTCTTAACAAAAGTAACGTAACTTTTGACTTCTTAACAGACCCAGACACTGATCTTGTCTCTGCCTAATAATAATAATAATCCTTGCATTTGATATAGCGCTTTTCACGTCTTCTAGATGTCTCAAAGCGCTTCACAGAATATACTGTAAAGTGAATTGACCGTATATTTGTGGGCAAAACACGGCAACCAATTGCGCACAGCAGT